GGGGGGGGGGGCCCAGAGGGGCTGGTGCTGCAGCTGCTAGAGGGGGGGTCGGGGATCTCGTTGGGTGTTGTATCGTCTGCTGCTGCTGCTTCTGCTGCTGCTGCTGCTGCTGCAGCAGGAGCAGCAGCAGGAGAAGGTGAGGATACACCCCAGTAGCCTGCTGCTTGTTCTTTGTCTAGCTGCTGCAGCAGCAGAGGGTGTATTCCCTTTAGGGCCCCGTTTGTACCCACCGGCATGAATAGAGGGGTGTTTACTTCTCCATGAGGGAGAGACAAAACTGCTGCTCTTGCTCGTTTGTATTGTGCTTCTATTTTAAACTGTAGGGGACCTGGTCGAGGCCATTCTGCTGCTGCTGCTGCTGCTGCTGCCTCCTGTTCTGCTGCTGCTGCACGCTCTGATGCCGATGCTGTACTCAACACCGCAAGAGTATCATCATACCCCTGCTGCTGCTCTTGTTGCTGCTGTGAAACACCTGCAGCACCAGCTGCAGCACCAGCAGCAGCAGCAGCAGCAGCAGGAGGAGCAAGTGAAGACGATGCCTCAGCTGTACATACACCTGGAGACCCCTCAACCGAGGGGGGCCCCTTGACGCTCTCGGGGGCCCCTGAAGCCGTCAGGGGGCCCCCACCCTGTTCTGGGTTGGGTACAGGTAAGACAGGCGAGGAGGGGGCCCCCTCCATCTTGCTGCGGTGCAGCAGAGAACCAACAGCTGCAGCAGCAGAAGAAGAAAGTTATAGGTTGTGTTTTTTTTTGCATGCAAAGAGCAGCAGCAGCAGCAGCTGGAGCAGCAGCAACTGCAGCAGCAGCAGCAGCAGCAGCAGTAGCGACGCAGTGAGGTGTATAGGCAGCTAGGCGGATCCAGCGACCCCACAGCGGTGCCGGCGTTGTTTTATTTCTTTTTTTTTGTTTTTTTATTTATTTATTTATACAAATATTGTTTTTATTTATTTAATTACTCCATAAAGAAAAAGACAAATGAAGAATTCAGTGCTGCTGCATGCGCAGCAGCAACAAGGAATCGATGCTCATCGGGGCTGCGGTGTACATACACCTGAGAGAGCAGCAGCAGCAGCAGCAGAAGCAGCAGCAGCAGCAGCGGGTAAATTTAATTAAAAATAATTAAATAAACTAAAATATTAAAATAAAATAAATAAAATAAATATTTTAACAAACACAGAGACACAAAGCCAACAAAAACAGCACACATATACAGCATCGAATGGGGTGTATAGGCAGCTCGTCTACACCGCTGCGGTGTATGCTGAGGTGTATGTACACCCCAACGCAGTGTATG